TGGTCTTAGCTGTTAGGTATAGGGATGCAGAGAGATATTAAAATTCCGGAGTGTCTATTTACACTAAGTGAAAATAGCCCGCCTTGTTGGCAGAAGCTATTTACACTAACTCGGCCCACCAACATGTGATTGGGCTAGTCAACACTATAAAAGATGATCATCTAACAACAGCTCCATGGTGTAGATGGTGAATTGCTTATCGTAGTCTTATTGATGCGATCGACCCGGGTTTGAATCCGCCTTTTGCCGAACTTTTTTCCTCCCTTTTAAAAATCTTATATTACATCGGAAAGGCATTTATTTTCAATCAAAATTAAGGAAATAATCAAAAAGTTGAAAATAAAGTATCGGGTAGGTGGAGGGAGGGCTTTATTGTCCTAATAAGGTGGCATCCATTTAATAATTTGAATTAAAAATATAATTTACACTTAATACGTTATTATTGCGTACTGTTTTAAAATGTAGTGTAAATAGCAGAAAAACCTGCTATTTTAACATAGTGTAAATAGAATCTATAGCTATTTGCACTTAGTGTAAATAGCATCTATCGCTAAGAAAATATGCTATTTTCATTTAGTGTAAATAGCATCTAAATGAATAGCTATTTGCACTTAGTGTAATTAGCCTCTATCTCTATTTACACTTAGTGCAAATAGCTGCTGCCTTAAAATTCTGGACGATACTAATAATTATTTTCTTGTTCTGGTCGATATTAAAATGATATACTAGAATTTAGTCATCACAGCACTAATGTAAAAAAAAAATTACATTAAATATGAAAAATTTATATTTATTTAGAGATAATTTATTTAGTATTTAACAGTGTTATTATATTATTGGTAATCTAAATGTAAAAATGGGAAATTAGTATAAGCAATTAGATTTCTATAACAAATTCAGTAAAAAAAAAAAAAGTCTCTGATATTCGCTGACAGCCAATATTGTAGTGATATATTGCACATTCTTAGTCTGATGTGATTGTTTTAGAGGGGTTTTGGACAGCTAAAAAGGCTAGGAGACTAGTTAAACAAGCAGAACACCATCTGACCGGGGTGGGAAATCTGCTAGACCAGTTTAAACCGGATATGAACCACCATAAGTGGTTCAAGCAGCGTTTTTAGCAGACTGGAACACTCTGGAAGCAGACTTCCAGGAATATCAGGTGTATTGTTGTATGGGAACAATACGTCTATATATGCGTGCCTTCCATAGGCGGAGGGTGAACCAACTCCAGGGTAAGGCTAAAAGCAGCCAAATGTATTAAAGGGGTCATATGATATTGCTAAAAAGAACATTATTTTGTGTATTTGATGTAATGAAATGTGTTTATGCGGTTTAAGGTTCAAAAAACACATTATTTTCCACATACTGTACATTACTGTTTCTCCTCTATGCCCCGCCTTTCTGAAACGCGACGATTTTTACAAAGCTTATCGGTCTGAAAAGCGTCCGGCGGGCTTGCGGCAACCACATGTGACGACCCCGGGCTGGACTCCGCTTCGTCCACGGTGAAAACCATTTAATGGAACTAAATTTGTATTTAACGTGATTACAATTTAATAAAAACGTTAGAAAATGATAATTATGTAACGTTACCTTTCCACGGTTATTCAAACAGTGAATAAATTATAGAAAGTGACATTATCACTAACATTGATCTATCGCGAGTTTAAGCACTCTCAAAAAAACTAAACTATCGTTATAATCACTGAAGCTGTATACACTGTGAAATGAATCTCTTACTTACATTGTACGTACATCTGCGCTTTGTTGTTTATGATAAAAGAATTCGCAAGAGTCCGGAATTCAGTCAGCGAACGCGCGTGCACTCAACAAAACTGATGAGTTTCAACGATGACTCATCTGAACGACTCTGATTGGCCATTGCATTCCTAAGCTCAACAGAATTGTGCGTGATTGGTTAAAATGCTCAACACTGTAAAAACGCCTAAAATGAAATACGGTGCAACATGAGCAGATCTTAATTTAATGCCGCAATCGACACTGTCTCGTGGCCAGGGGAAGGCTAAGCCCCAGCCTTACACACGCTCCGACTATGGTGCCTTCTTTTTATATATATACGTGCCTTTCTTTAAATTCTTTTTAATTATGCTGTACTTCATCTAGCTGTTTAACAAAAGAATGTTTTCTGTTTTGTAACTTTATTGTACTACAAAAAATCTAAAACAAAGCTTGACCTGTATTTTCGTGTAAAGCACAGGCCAAAAGCACTTTCTTGTGTCATCGTCTGCAAGACCTTATGTTCAACTTATGTTCTTGTTGTGGTTGACTGATTTAGCCATTTATGGATTCCGACTTCAGTTGTAGTTTCCAGGTAGCCATTGATTAATGCCCGGCCAGAGCCTGGCGGGAGGCGTCCGTGGCTTTGCCTGTATTGATTCAATTAGTTCTGAGGGTTTGCTAGTGTTCTATGCAAATCGCCTTTGCTAGCGGCCTCAGCTAACAGAGACTGATTAGCATCGCCAGCTGTCTGCTGGGTACTTCTAATACCCATGCCAGCTGCCATCGTTGTGTACCAGTTGCTTAACGTCGGTGATGCCCTGAAAAGTGCCAACTTGAGTTAATTTTCAAGAGTAAGGTACATGATTAGTTCAAAAAGCTGAAGGTTACCTGTAGCACAGCTATAAGTTTGAAGATTTACACTCAAAGGCATGAATTTCACTACATTTGCTTCTGTTTCCAAAGATTTTCTGCCCGGCGCCTGAGAGAAACGTCTGATATACTCGTAGCAGTGGGTGAAAGAAATAAAATAATAAATCTGCCATCTGTGTCTTCCTTTCAGTGTCACTGGTTGCCACCTACAACTCTGATACCATGTCTATCGTGGCACTTAACTTCCCTCTCCCTTCTTCACTGGAACGAGTCGGTCGCCCTCTCATAAGATCCATCTGTGCACCAGATCAGCTATTTTTCTCTTTTAATTCGCCTTTGATTTAGAATCACTTTCAAGTGTGTCCTCTTGTTTGTGTGGGTGTGCGTGATGAATTAACACCAGCGAGGAAGTACAAACAAAAAGCAACATAAAAAAATAACCATGAAATTAGGCAGTGAGCGGACCTTTGACCTCATGGAAGAAATAGGCATTGATCGGGTTGGGGTATGAGGTAAGACCAAAGCGCAATCACGTTGCCTCACGAACACTGGAGTAACTGATGACAAAAGAGTTGATTTGCAAAAACCGATAAACGGCACTTAAAAAAAAAAGAGCTGATTGCCGTGCATTATTCTCCACATATAGCACGATCTGAACCCTAAACATGTTTTGTCAAAAAAGCCGGTTTTGTCAACTTTCAAGGCATCGCGAGTTCACGTTTTACTGCAGAAGCCGACAAGCGCTCTTGTTGTTTTTGAACAGAAGCCGATAAGTCCATTTTAGCGAATCAG